GTTTTCATTTATAATTGGCCAGACAATAATAATAATTAGTATTAGTCGACTATTAGTTGTTTAAAAAAAAAGTTAGTGACTATTTTAGTCGACTAATTAGTCGATTCCAACCTCTAAAAATGACAAAAAAAAAATTCACTGGTTTTCTCAGATGATGTCCCATATAAGCATCAATATGAATTTGCAAAAAAAAAAAATAGAAAGATAAATATAAACACCACATAAATGTAACACAAATTGTTGATATAAGCACCACCAACAGTTTTTTTGTTGATAAAACGTGTCAAAAATGACGGTGCTTATATTCGAGACAATACGGTAAATAAAAAATAGCATATTAATATAAAAATCCACAAGTTTTAATAAATTCACAATAAAAAATGTATTCGTATAATCACTTCTGCTTCCGGATACAATTGCAATAATCGTTCAAAAACTCCCATTGGATAGTCTTAGTATAGCTTTATGGATTAACCATACTTGGAATAAGGAAGTGAAACATGAATTGCATATGAGGCACGAAAAGTTTAAAAATCAATATTGGAGAACAGTATCAGTAAGATATATGGAGGGAGATACAGTTTAAAGATCAATATTGGGAAAATGAGGGTAAGCGCTATATCGACTACAGAGGTGCTGATGAATATAAAAAATGCAACCACAAAGTGAGATTTTTAGATATGAATTCTTCTATGAACTAGTAGAAGTAGAACATTGCATGTTACAAAATAAATTAATCAGAAGAAGAGAAAGAGGCGATGTATTAAAACGTATTAATCAAGTTACTAGTATTTACTTGGTGCATCCTTGGTTGGAATATGAAATAGAAGAAATGATTAATTGATGATCCGTCTATGAATCAGAGAAATGTCAATCAATTTATTATAAAAATGCGGGGGAAATTTCATATTAAATGATCGGCAAAAAAAAATTAATATTTCGAGTAAAAAATAAAAAAAAAAAACCATACAGTCGAACCCTCGTTTCAACAGATTTTTGGTTTTACCCCTTGATTTTATTAATTAAAAAATTCTCGTTTCAATGGACTTTATATTTAAATCGCGTTTCAACGGCAACGGATTTTTTAGTAATTAGTAATAATAATAAGTACTAATCGCGTTACAACGGATTCACGTGATATAGATTTTATAAAAAAAAACACACATTACTATGTTAAGATTAATTCATTGCTAAATAATAATATTAATCAAAATTTACCATATTCCTAAATAATGATTTTACACGAATAATTAAACACACATTACTAAATAATAATATGATTTTACACGACACATTACTAAATAATAATATTAATCAAATTTTTCATATTTCTAAATAATGATTTTACACGAATAATTAAACACACATCACTAAATAATAATATTAATCAAATTTTCCATA